AGTAGAACATAAGGTTGACGGAAACCCGGGGACTGCGCCTACCTGATGAGCCCCAAGAAGGGCGAAACCGGTCGTGGGCTGTCAATGGATTTTCAGCAACCTTATGAGTAGGAATAGTTTCAATTCTGTGGTTTTTCGCGTCATAGCATTGACGCGACTTTCAGGCTGTCGTTGTTAGTTGCTGTAACTGAAACACGGACGTCTTGAAGAGCCCAATGCCTTAAGCAGATAGCAGAGCATCACACTCATGCACTGCTGCATATGTGTTGTGATACAGCTATCTCATGGTGACGTTTGTAGAGTGTCGCCGAATTCAAGTCAATATTGAATGTATATCATTTTTCTCACTATTATCCTCCAATCTCCGTGCTCTGCAAAAAAGTAGTTGGTTTGTCTCGGCGAGATGGCTCAAGCGGTTAGAGCGCAAATCTGCTGACCAGTGGGTCCAGATTCGAGCCCGATCTCTGCCTCTCGACTTCACCTGTCTGGGTTTGGGTAACCTGACAGTATTCCAGCCCTCGGGTTGCATGGAAGCTAGGCACCGAAAGGGTGCTACAGCTGAACGATTATATGTGCGCTGGGATACCGCCCAGACTTAAACAAGCGAACGACTATGGTCCTCAAGCAAAGTCTTTGGCTCAAATGCCTGATCGCGAGGTATCCGCCGTAGGCTTAAGCAGTCCAGATTTTAAGAAACGAAATTGCCACACTTTTTCCGATTCTGGATCTAGAGAGCCAAGAGATTGTGTGTCAGACCTACATCCATTCGTCAACCTGGCAGGAGAGACTCTAGAATAGGTCAACGGGTCGATTAGATACGCAAACCCTCGCACCACACGAAGGTTCAGCCTGCCTCTTCGCGACTGATGAGCAACTACAGGTCGGCTGCGTTTCTCAAGTCTGACAAGCTGCCATTAATGACGCTACAATTGATCAAACTCAGCCGACAGGCTTCTAGTCCAGCAAACTCATTCTGAGTTCGGAATCAAATGATCATTTCTGAGAGCTTGCATTGTTGGAGACGATACCTGTTATGCCGAGTCGCTGTATAGATAATCATGTTGCATATCTGACTGTGCAAAACTAAGCCATCTAACAAAATCACATGCACAAATCGGAATAGAAGTAAGACGGGTACTTGTTCCGTAGCACACATTCACGTATTGATAAGAATCTATATTAATGAGCCATAGCCGAAAGGTACTTGTTACCGAAGGTCAAGTACGCCACACACCATTTTGTTGTGTTTCTTTACAATGTGTGCTCTTGAGTGTGTGCAGACTGACTGATCGATAGACTCAAAGTACAAGTATTAAATCTAACTGTATTCACTCGGTAGCGCATTATCAGTGGCTCGGAATGTTTTTTTTTGGAAGATAAACATCGTTTTTATGGCTCTAGGGTGGGGTTCTACTCAACTATCATCCAAAGTACATCGAAAGCCGTATCGATTCAGTCCGAGTAGTTGGGTATGTTGCAACGCTTATATTTGCAGTTTATACCAGTCCAATAATCTGGACAAAGGTATCTTGTCATCTGGACTTACCATTTCCCCGAGTGACGTCCTGCCAACTGCTTCATAACACAGAAGTGGCGATCCTAGTGCCTTTTCAAAGGGTTCAACCACGTTCATAATCTGGGTTCCGACATACGTCTTTTTATAGGAAGCCTAATGGAAATCCAAAGCCCATTAACTAAGTGCTACTCCACTCTTTTTTCCAAGCCACCAGAACATAAGGATACCGCAACGCGAAATGATGTACAGTCCTTTGACTTCGGTTCCCGTTTTGCTTACAGATGCCAAAACGCTTTCTGTGGGAATTTTCCCCAAAACATCAAGACTGGCATCACTTTGCGTCGTTTTGCGGTTCGCTCTCTTGATATTTTGGTTCAAAAGATGGAGATGTTTCGTTTGCGAAATCATATTTGAATTCCTATTAGATTTACTGTAGGGGAAGACACTCAACCCCCCACCAAAGAAGCGATTAATTTATAATTCCTGGATTACGCAGGACTTACGAGAATCGCGCGTGGGTCAGATATCACTTCAGTCCAAAATAATGCATAATGATAGTAATAATCACTCAGATCTAACATGTCTAGCTGCCACGCTACTCGATGACTGCGTTACCACCAGGCTGCTCAACTCCAGACAGGAGCTGGGGCTGGATTCGAACCACTTGCCTTCAGATCAGTGCGTTCACGCCTCAACCAATGGAATATCTCGGACTCCTATAGATGTCCGAAAGTAACGGAATCAGAGCTGAGATGGACAGCAGTGAGTTAAACTGCGGAAATGTAGGCCCACAGTCTGCCAATAAATGACCCGTATCCAGTGTATAAAGCAATATAGCCAGCTTGCACATATGGTTCAGATAAGCCAACGCCCCCACAGAGAAGACATCTTAAAACAACGGCGTTACCATAGCACAGCTTACTGCATGTAGCCCACAAACCAGAGTCCGCACAACAGGCGACTATGGACCAAGTCACATCGAACTGCGATCGATTGACGAAAAGTTCAAAACTGAATGATGATCAGGCTGCCGGAAGTACGCCTGTTGAGCGTTCATAGGCTCGTGCGTATGCCTGAGGGCCTGATTATGCTCACCGCTTTGTTGGATTTTATTAAACTATATTGGATTTCCTGCTTAAAATTTGATCTGTGAATCCGTTATTATTAACATACACAGATAGACAGATAGATAGATACATAGTTTAACTGGTTGCCTGATCTGTTGATGGATTGATAGATAGAATGCTCCATTGACTGACTGATTGACTGACGGACTGGTTGATCGATCGGTCGATTGATTGATTGATTGACTGAATGAATGATTGATTGTTGATTGATTGATTGATTGATTGATTGATTAGATAGATAATGTTGCCCTAATAGTACCACGACTGGTCTCCTGCTTGCTGTGTGCACCAAATGACGTCTAATAGATGTCGCTGTATGCACCACCTTACGCGGTCATTCATTCGTTTGGCTATCTGAAACATTCAGATGAGCATCGCTGGTTTTTTATTGTCTGAGCATTTCCAGCCTGCTCATTCTAGTTAAAATGGTACATTCCTTTTGTGAATGGTTTGAGTTCACATACCCAAAACGTTGTCTTTTTCCCCTCTCCTGTGGGATGCCAAACTCCTAGGATCTGAGTTAGCTCGGATAAGTCTATCTTCAGGAACGGCTGTCGAATGATCTCACGCCAACCCACAGGTGACGTGTGAGGCCATTCTTGCACAAAGACCCTAATCTAGGATGAAGCTTGTGCAAGTCAGAACACCAAACCTTACTAAATGCAGCTAAGTTGTCCGACCTCGAGATAGATTGGTGGTCAGGGCGCGAATTTACGGTTCAAACCCAACCTCAGTCTCCCGACTGCTGCTGTCCTGACTGGAGCAACATGACAGTCTAAGCCCTCATGCTTCTTTAGGGTGGTGTGGCCGCTATATACCAAAAATTGTGTTGCAGCTCAACAATTACTTTTCCCGAATCTATTCAAATTAATTGCCACTGAGACGATGAACCTAAAAACATCTGTCACTTGACGGTCGGTGGTCGCCGCTGCATGAAAATCCTGAGCACCGGCGGTCGAAAGCAAGCCATTATCCGGTCTGAACTTTATGGCTTAATGATGGGCACCGTTACCTTTTGACGTACGGACTTTATTTGTCAGCGTATTATGGAATCTCACCTAGAGATGCCCACTGACACTTTGTACTCTAGTTACCTTCAGGTAGCTGATATTGTCATCTTTAGGCTAACAATACTGGGCAAGCAGTCATTGGAAAATGGAAGAAAAAACGTACCTAGGTTTCAGAAAGTTGCGTTTGTCAAATGAACTGGTCAGAGTACCCTGATGACCTAGAGGACCTATCCTACGTAGGTAGGTACGTTCACATGTGGCCTACGTCATCTTGGGCGAGTCCCTTCCGAATGGGTCGGTTGTGTTTACAGCGCTGCGATCTTCGTCTCCGAAACTTTCTCGCGCTTTCTTGGATAGCTGTTGTCCATATCGAATGTCGTGTCCTCGCATGAGAGTTACAGTTTCTAAAACTTTAAGCGGTATCCCAAAAACGGGATTTTGGTCAAGACGTGGGTCTGGAGAATGTTCCAGAATAATTACACGTGATCCGGATGTATAGGTCTTGACATCCGCATGAGATTTTTTCTGATTTCATTGGATCCTAATCCAATAGACTGTTTTTCACGGGCCGTCCGAAAAGCCCTACAGATGGCGCTGGTGTGCAAGAGTCCGGTGAAGGGTCTTCGCACATTTGGAAGGTATCTTTAAACAAGTGCCGTAATTTGTCAATAAAATTTTTCCAATTTGTCTGCCAATTACCAATGAGTATGGTTAACTCAAACAAACTCGAAATCTGCAAGACACACCAAATGCGTACTGCTCGGGATCGTACTCCACCTTGTGGGTCCGGGGCACTCAGTGTGACACCTAAACGAAACCCTTTTCCTACGTTTGGGCAACCGGGGAGCGAGGCCCACGCACACAAACTGGCAGCAGCGGCTTTTTTCTTTAATTTTTCACTTCCAGTATCCTTACAAATAACCCTGTGTGCGTAGCTCCATAAATTTAGTTTTCGTTTACACTCCGTCTAAAAGAGTAAAAGCCAACCGTGTTCTACCAACCTCGATTATCCAACATTTGTTTGA